ATATATATATATAAAAATGATTTGGAGGAAAATGTAACTGGTCTGATTAGTAGGTTTGCGGATGACGCAAAGGTTGGTGGAATTGCGGATAGCAATGACGACCATCAGAGGATACGGCATAGATTGGTGACTTGGGCAGAAATGGCAGATGGTGTTTAATCTGGAAAAATGAGAGTACGGTGAATACTGACGCATGTAGGAAGGTCTAATTCAGCTGGAAAATATACAGTAAATGGCATAACCCTTCAGAGTACTGATAGGCAGAGGGATCTGGGTGTACAGGTACACAGATCATTGAAAAAGTGGCAACGCAGGTGGAAAGGGTAGTCAACAAGGCTTGCCTTCGAAGGCCAGGGCATGGAGTTTAAAAATTGGTAGGTAATGTTGAAGCTTTATAGAACCTTAGTTAGGCTGCATTTGGAATATGGTGTTCAATTCTGGTCGCCACACTACCAGAAGGATGTGGTGGCTTTGGAGAGGGTACAAAAAAGATTTACCAGGATGTTGCCTGGTATGGAGGGCATTAACTATGAGGAGAGGTTGGAGAAACTTGGGTTGTTCTCACCGGAACAATGGAGGTTGAGGGGTGACCTGATAGAGGTCTACAAGATTATGAAGGGCATGGGCAGAGTGGACAGTCAGAAGGTTTTTCCCCAGAGTAGAAGAATCAGTTACAAAGAGTCTAGGTTTAAGGCGTGAGGGGCAAGGTTGAAAGGTGATGTACGGGGCAAGGTTGAAAGGTGATGTATGAGGCAAGCTTATTACACAGAGGATGATGGGTGCCTGGAACTCACTGCCAGGGGAGGCAGTGGAAGCAGATATAATGGGGACTTTTAAAGGGCATCTTGACAAGTACACAAAAACGTTGGATTTGGGGAATATGGTTCGCGGAAGGGTAGGGGGTTTTAGTTTTGACAGGCAGCATGTTGCTGAAGGCTTAGAGGGCCGAAGGGCCTGTTCCTGTGCTGTAATTTTCTATGTTCTTTGTTCTAGTCTATATCCTGCTATATCCTCTGACAATCACTATCTCAATATTTCCAACCTTTGTATCATCCGCAAACTTACTAATTACACCAGCTACACTTTCCTCCGAATCATTTATATACACCACAAACAGCAGAGGATGGTGGAATGCACTGCCTGGGAGGATAGTTGAAATGTGAAACTTCAACATCTTTAAAAAGTACTTGGATGAACACTTGAAGTGCCATAACATTCAAGGCTCTGTGTCTAGAGTAGGCAAGTGGAAATGGTGTAGCTAATAGTGTACTTTTGGTGATATACACTTGATGGGCTGAAGGGCTCTTCTTTACTGTGTGATTCTATGATTTGAGAAGTTGATAAATTTTTGATTATCAATGCATACACGGTTACGGGGACGGCATGGGTAGAAAAGACGTGGAAAATTTCCATCAGCCACAAAAGTATTAAATGATGGAATATGCTCAATTGGCTGAATGGTCTATTACTTTGTAACTGTGTTCTCCAGGTATAGAGAAAAAGAATTAATAGGATTCCTGAGCTAGCATTTATCACCTGTCCCTAATTCACTTGAACTGAGTGGCTTGCTAGGCCATTTCAGAGGGCAGTTTAAATGTCAACTACATTGCTGAGAGTCTGGAGTCACATTCAGGTCAGAACCAGACAAGATTTTATGGAAACGTAGAAAATAAGAGTAGGAGTGGGCCATTTGGCCCTTTGACCCTGCTCACTATTCAATATGATCATGGCTGATCTTAACACCATGTTTCCAATTTCTCCCCATTATCCTTGATTCCTTTAATATCAAAAAAAGATATCTTTCTTGAATATACTTGGCCTCCACAGCATTGTGGAAGTGAATCCCACAGGTTGACCTCACTTTGACCAAAGAGATGTTTCCTCAAGTCGTAAACGGCCTACACAATATTAAGAGAATGTGACCCGATTCTAAACTCTCCCTGCATCTAGTTGGTCTAGTCCTGTTCAAATTTTATACGCTTCAATCAGATCCTGTCTCCTTCTGCTAAACTCCAGTGAGTACAGGTCCAATCAAACCAATCTCTTCTCAGACGAAACTCCTACCATCCCTGATATCAGCCAAGTGAACTTCTACCGCACTCCTCTATGACAAGTATATGGTATCTTAATTAGGGAGACCAAAAATGCACAGTACTTCAGGTGCAGTCTTAACCAAGCTGTCTATAACCACTGTAAAACATCCCGACTTCTGAACTCAAAACCTCTTGCAATGAAGGCCAACAGACTATTTGCCCATTTACTTTCAATGTATTCATTTTACTTCCACTGGTGTACAAGGGCATCCCCAGATCCCTTTGTACATCCACATTTCCCAATATATTACCATTTATATAATATTCTTCCATTCAGCTTTTCACACTAAAGTGTATAACTTTACATTTTTTCCATATTCTACGGCACCTGTCAGGTCTTCGCCCACATACAAAATTGTCTGGATCCCCTTGAAGCCTCCTTGCATCCTCCTCACAATTCTCAATCCATCTGCAAACTTGGAAATAATATTCCTTCCCTAAAGGCAGTGAACAAGATGGCTCTTTACGAGAATCCACAATTTTAAATTCCAGATTTATTCTGAATTCAAATTTCACCATCTGCGACGTTGGGATTGGAACTCATACCCCCAGAACATTAGGATGAGTCTCTGGATTACTAGTCCAATGACATTACCACTAAAACACCACCTATCAGTCAAACAGTGAGAAGGACAGCAATGAACTTCAAGCAGACAGAAAAAGGATGGTGAAATTAACAGAGTATATAGCAGATAAATTTTAGTAGAGAAGTGTGAACTAATAAAATTTGGTAGGAATAAGGTGGAGAGGCAATAGAAAATAAAAGGCAAAATACTAAAAAGTGGATGCAGGTAGAGAACTGAGATATAAGTGCACAAATCTCTGGAGGCAGAAAAGGTCAAGATCAGCGGGCATTTTTAAAAAAAATTCAGTCAGGGAATATGGCTTTCGCTGGGTGGACCAGCACATGTTGTCTATCACCAATTGCCCTTGAGGTGATGGCAGTGAACTGCCTTCTTGAACTCCTGCAATCCATGCCATTAGGGATGCAATTCCAGTCCAGCTTTGAAGAGACCTCACTTGACAGACTGAATGACCTCCTCCTTGAGAAAGGATGTACTGGCACTGGAGCGGGTGCAAAGGAGGTTCACTAGGTTGATTCCGGAGTTGAGGGGGTTGGCTTATGAGGAGAGACTGAGTAGATTGGGATTATATTCATTGGAATTCAGAAGATTGAGGGGGGATCTTATAGAAACATATAAAATTATGAAGGGAATAGATAAGATAGAAGTAGAGAGGATGCTTCCACTGGCAGGTGAAGCTAGGACAAGAGGGCATAGCCTCAAGATTAGAGGGAGCAGATTTAGGACTGAACTGAGAAGGAATTTCTTCACCCAGAGGGTTGTTAATCTATGGAATTCCTTGTCCAGTGAAGTAGTTGACGCTACTTCAGTAAACGTTTTCAAAAAAAAAGGTAGATTTTTTTTGAACAATAAAGGAATTAAGGGATACGGTGAGAACGCGGGTAAGTGGATCTGGGTCCACGAAAGGATCAGCCATGATCTTATTGAATGGCGGAGCAGGCTCGAAGGGCCAGACGGCCTACTCCTGCTCCTAGTTCTTATGTTCTTATGTTCTCCTATGCAGTGACTAATCTATGATTGGATGAGTTGGCGTAAAAATGTTCAAAAAAGGCCAAAAATACAAAATCAATGGCTTCAGAGAAGTATTGCAAGATGCAGAGTTCTACCTGCTGGTAACCCGTGCTTTGTGATTGAATGATCCATCTGCACTGTCAATCCAGGAGGAGCCACGCAGGACATGCATCTTCTGAGCGCTAGCCTTTGAAGGAAGACCTCGTGGAGAATATTCCGAGTCCGTCCATTCCCATACATTTCCTAGCATGTCATAGAGGCCTGAACAAGGAACATAAAGAAAGTTACTTTCAAATGCAGACATTTTTATTTCAATAAACCTGCTACTGATGCCAGTAAATGATTCCAGTTAAATCAATCTTCTTTTCTCAGCAGTCATTAAATGCACTTGGTGAGCTTACAAATGTATCTGCATGTAAGTAATAATTCAGGGGAGAAAATGAGAGACAGTGACAGAAAGTCAGAGACCTATAGCACAGAAAAAGTCATTTGGTCCATCAAGTTTGCACCGGTCAGAAATAATGACCTAAATATTCTAATCTCATTTTCCAGCACTTGGCCTGCAATCTTGCATGCCTTGGAAAAATACTGTTTGAATTTTGGGGGTTCTTGCCTTTACCACTCTTACAGGTTGAGAGTTCAGATTCCAACCACTCTCTGGAGGAAAAGGTTTTTCCTCACATCTTCCTTTAAACCTTCTGCCTCTTATGCAGAATCTGTGCCCCTGGTCATTGATTGCTTCACCAATGGGAAATGTTTCTTCCTGTCTTCTCTCTCTATACCTCATTATTTTATATATTTTAATCGTGTCCCTCTCAATCTCCTCTGCTCTAAGGAAAACAATCCCATTCTGTCCAATCTCTCTTCATAAACTCTCCAGCCCAGGCAACATTCTGGTAAAATTCTCTGCACACTGTCCAGGATTATCACATGCTCCTCCTATAATGTGGATTACAGAACTGACGTCAAACCCTGGCCCAATGTTCTTTACAATTCCAGCAAAATCTCTCTGCTGTAAAACCCTACGCCTCGTCTAATAAAGGCAAGTATTCCATATACCTTCTTAGCCACTTGATCCTGTCCTCATATCTTCAGGGCCAGTGTATATGCACACCAAGCTCCTTCTGATCCTCAGTGTTTCCCAAGACCCTACCACTCATCATGTAATCCCTTGCCTTGTTTGTCCTGCACAAGTGCATCACCTCAAATTTATCCTTATTTTAAAAAGTGAGAATGAGTGTGTATAAGGAGGCAGAAACAACTGGTTTTCAGCTGGGGTGTATTTATAAGATGATCAAGATGGGGTGCACTGAGCTCCAGAAAAATGTTGACAGTGACAGACTCTTACCATAGTTATTTTGCGGTGGAAATGCATTTACAGGAGATACACCATGATATCCATCTTCTACTGTGTCTTCATCTGGAAATTTTCCCTAAAAGGACACATCCAGAAAAAATTACCACAGAAGTCAATGAGAACATGAGTAAAATAAAATGAAACTCTTTTAGAAACACCTAAAGAGTTAAAGGGTAGGAGCAAACAAATACAATAAACAGAAATCTTGCAGAGGCAGAGGGCATCGAGAGAGAGGGGCGCAAACTGAGTGAGTATGTATTTTGGGATTTTAGAGCAGCATGGGAATTTGGTGTAGAAGGAAAGAGATGCTGTTATTCTGCATGCTTTTTTGGTTCATAGCTTGTAAGGGCTTTTAACAGAATAAGCTGAAAACCCAGGATTGGGAGCCCAGCACAAAGCAAAGAGTGACATCACAGGAAAATGTGGACACTCACTGGGAACTGCAGAAGAGCTTGTGGGGAAAGAACAAGGAGTGATAAAAGATAAAGACACTTATTTCTAAACAGGAAAAAATAATTGGGGTGACATCACAGGGAAGCAGTGAGGAACCAGCTTTAGGGACTGAGACACCAGTACTGGGACAGAAAAGTGTAAAGTCCTTATTTTTATGGTCTGTGGTTTGTTAGAAATAGAGAGAAAGAAATCTGATTTGGTGAGTCGTGGGTAAGGTTGAATAATTTGCTCATAGTTTATTGTTTGTATGCGTAAGGTTCCGAATGGCAGGAGGACACGACTCCACAAAATACTCCTGTAATATGTGGGAAATGAGGGTCACTTCCAGTGACTACGAACGCAGAATGTGCGTTCAGCTGCAACTCCTGATTAGTCAAGTGGAGCAGCTGGAGCTGTGGATAGACTCACTACAGAGTTATCCATGACATCTTCACAGATGCATGTTTAGTGAGCTAATCAAACTATAAGTAAGGACTACACAGGCAGAAAAGTATTGTGTGACCACGAAGAAAAATAGTACGCATGGTCAAGTAGTGCAAGAGGCCCCTGTGGCCATTCTTCAACATCACCCCAACTCATTTCAAACAGATAGACTGTGTTAGATACTGTTTTTTTAGGGGGCAGGGGGAGGGAATGGGGGTTTGGCCTCTCAGGGGAAAATACTAACAAGTTTGTGCCAGTATGGTTGTCTTTGCTGCAGAGCAGGGGAGGAAAAGGACAGAGAGCTTTAGTGATAGGGAACTGACAGGCAACAGGGAAACTGACTGCTCTGTGACCAGAAACAAGACTCTTGAAAGTAATGCTGCCTTCTTGGTGCAAGGGTTAGCGATGTCTCAAAGGCTGCAGGGCATTCTGAAGGGAGAAGAAGGTGAACAGGCAGCAATTGTGGTACACATAAATACCAATGAATGGGGAAACAAAGAAATGAGGCCTTGCGATAGGGATTTAGAAAGTAAGGGAGTAGATTAAAAAGGAGGAATACTAAGGTTGCAATCTCCAAATTACTTCCAGTGTACACACTACAAGTACAGGAATAAAAAAAACAGGTCAGATGAATGCGTGGCTAAAGGGATGGTGTAGGAAGGAGTGCTTTAGATTTTTGGATTATTGGTACAGTTTGTGGGGTAGGTGGAGCCCATACAAGATGGGTTGCATCTGAACCAGAAGGGTCCAAAGTCCTTGCTGGGAGGCTTGTTTGTACAGTAAGGGAGGTTTCCATCTAATTTGGCAGTCAGACGGGGGACAGAGCAGATGTAAAGTTGGGAGCAAGGTTCAGTCAGATATAGGAGGAATACTAGGACAGGAGGAGGAGACATGGGCATGTGGGAGAACTGGAGAGATAAATTATAGAGATAGTAGGAACTGCAGATGCTGGAGAATCTGAGATAATAAGGTGTAGGGCTGGATGAACTCAGCAGGCGAAGCAGCATCAGTGGAGCAGGAAGGCTGACGTTTCGGGCCTAGACCCTTCTTCAGAAATGCAGGTAAATGCAGATAAACTATATCTATTTTAATGCACGAAGCCTGACAAGTAAGGCAAATGAACTTACAGCATTGATCAGCACATGGGAATATGATATTGCTGCAGTCACTGAGACATGGTTGAAGGAAGGGCATGAGTGGCAGCTTAACATTTCAGGGCATAGAAGGCATGATGTGGGCGCAGGAGTGTTGTGCGCAAAGTAAGAGAGCTAGGGGCATCATATTATCAATAAAGGAGACCATGACAGTAATGAGGGAGGACATCTTCAAAGGCTCTTCAAATGAGGGTAGAATTTAGGAACAAAAAAAAAAAAAAGGGACAATTACTTTGCTGGGATTATACTACAGGCCCTGCAATAGTCAGAGGAAAATAGAGGCGCAGAGGGGCGGCACGGTGGCTCAATGGTTAGCACTGCTGCCTCACAGCGCCAGGGACCCGGGTTCGATTCCACCCTCAGGGCAGCTGTCTGTGTGGAATTTGCACATTCTTCCCATATCTGCATGGGTTTCCTCCGGGTGCTCCGGTTTCCTCCCACATCCAAAGATGTGCAGGTTAGGTGGATTAGCCATGCTAAGTTGCCCATAGTGTTCAGAGATGCCTAGATTAGGTGGGTTATAGGGGGATGGGTCCGAGTGGGATGCTCCAAGGATCAGTGTGGACTTGTTGGGCCATAACAGTCTGTTTCCACACTGCAAGGATTCCATCATTATATGGAGGCAAATCACAGAACAAGTGTGAGAGGAATAGAGTTATAGTAGCAGGGGGTTTCAACTTTGCTAAAAATAACTGGGATTCCCTTATTGTGAAAGGGTGAAATTTTATGGTGAATCGAGGAATGCTTTTTGTGCCAAGATGTAGATTGCCCTACTAGAGAGGGGGCAGTGCTAGACCTAATCCTAGAGAATGAAGCTGATCTAGTGGTTGAAGTATTAGTGGTCAAACATTTTGGGAATAGTGACCAGTTTCAAAGTCATTATGGAATGGGATGAGGTTTGCGCAAAAGTTGTGTCTAAATTGGGGAAGGCTAATTTCAAAATCATTAGACAGGATTTTGCAAACAAAGACTGGGAGCAACTACTTGCAAGTCTACATTTGGAAAGAGGGAGTCTTTCAAAAGTAGTATAATGCAAGGTCAGTGCCAGTGTGTTCTTCCAAGTGTGAAGGGTAGCTGGAGAGTATGACGTGAAAAAAGCCATGGTAAGTACATATGGCTAGTACCAGAAGCCTACAGATGTTTTAGGAATCTGAGGAGGGAACCTGGTCAAATGTACATAGAATTTAAAAGGATCAAACAAGTTAATTTTGATAGGCGGACAAGGGCATTGAAATAGATCAAACATGTTAAGCATTTTGACACAGTTAAGCCAATTCTTTTATTTTTATAGTTAAAAAACAGACAAAATAAATTAAAAATGAAGTTTGTTTTGCATAAAGTTGAGTAGTTTGACCAATCGAATTGTACCTGGAATGCAATGTCTTACACTTACCTTTAAAATAAGAAAAAGTTTGAGTCTAGGCTATCTTTTGAGGGGGTTTGGTTTGATCCATAACACAAGTTTAAAGTGAGGAGTAAGCGGTTTACAGGAGATCTGAGGAAATAGATTTTCCACCCAGAGGGTAATAGAAATATGGAATGCACTGCCTGAGAGTGTGAAGGCAGGCACTCTTGCAACATTTAAGCAGCACCTGGATGAACACTTAAAATGCCAGGGCGTTAAAATGCCAGGGCATAGCAGGTGCAATTAAATGAGGCACATATGGTTTGGTGTTTGTTGGTCAGCACGGACGTGGTGGTCCGAAAGGGCCTGCTTCTATGCTGTTGGACTCTAAAAGAGACTTCACTACACAATACTGTCAACAGAGACATTGGATAGAATAAAAATAAATAATGATGAGGGACTTAAAAAGTTGACCGTTCTGAAAATAGTGAAATCTCCAGGTCTCAATGTGATGCATCCTAGAAGGATGGCAAAGGGAAGCAAAGTTGGAAATGAGAGAATGCCTGTATATAATTTCCCATCACTGAGTGTTATAGCAGCAGAATCAGAATACCTCACAAGGGACAAAAGGAGAACCTGGAGTTTAAAAACAGTGACAGAGAGAGCCAGGAGTTTATAGTCATAAGTCTGACAGCACAGAACAAGGCCCTTGGCCCATTGCGTCCATGCCAATCAAAAACAACCACAAAAACAAAATTCTAATCCCATTTTTCCAGCACTTGGTCCATAGCCTTGTATGGCTTAGCATTGCAAATGCACATCTAAAACTATTTCTTAAAATGTTGAGAGTTTCTACCACCCTTATGCTCAGTATTGCATACAGTTCTGGTCACCACATGACCAGAAGGATGCGGATGCTTTGGAGAGGGTATAGAAAAGGTTTAACCAGGATGTTGCCTGGTATGGGGGACTTTAGTTATGAAGAAAGGTTGGATAGATTGGGTTTGTATTCACTGGAATGCAGCAGGTTGAGGGGCGATCTGAAAGAAGTTTAAAAATTGTGAATGGCACGGATAGAGTTCAAAGTATTAGGCATTTTCCCAGGATGGAGGGGTCAATTACTAGGTGACACAGGTTCAAGGAGCAAAGGGGAGTGGGGATGTTTAAAAGATATGTGCGAGGCAAGTTTTTCCACACAGAGTAGTGGGTGCCTGAAACATGTTGCCAGAGGTGGTGGTGGAAGCAGACACAATAGCAGCATTCAAGAAACACATGGACAAATACATGAATAGGAACAAAATGCATCGGCTGATGAAAGCAAGCATCCCAAATGCCTTTTTAACATCTTTACGCAGGGAGATTGTGTTAGACTGGATTAAATAAGCTTGTCCAGGAGGAGTCCAGAAAAGAAACACAATTGTTATAGTACAGGAGGAGACCATTCACCCCATCATGCCTATAACTTGTTTTTATTCTTATCTAGTGTCAATCTTTTTCTCCCATCCAAATAATCATCCAATGCATTGAGCTTCGCTAGAACACTGCAGCAAGCCAGAGAAGATATGTTGGTCAGCGAACAGGATGGTGCATTAGAAGTGGCAGGCAACCGGTAGTTCAGGGTCTTATTTGCGGGAAGAACGTAGATGTTCAGCAGAGTGGTCACCAAGTCTACTTCAGTTGAGTTCAACAACTTCAGGGCTTGAGCTCTCCCATGTCCTTATCCCAATCCCCACACCCCAGCCCTTATCACCACAATATGCTATTACACACAACCCACTGAAAGCCATTAACAATCCCCATTAATAGTTATTCACCCCCCTAGTCAGATAGTCATCCACCCCTTTGTCCATCCAGCTGTTCTTCTCTCTCTTTGGGCTCTATCCCCATCCATAGTTTACTCCTTACCTCCTCCCCCCACCATGCATATAAACTGACATTTTCCTAGCTACTATCTCTTCTGAGGATAGGTCACTTGACAAGAATCGTTAACTCTGATTTCTCTCTACAGGTGCTGTCAGACCTGCTGAGCTTTTCCAGCAACTTCTGTTTCTGCAGCTGATGTGCTGGGTGCTGCAACTGGCTTCACCATTCAAGTGAGGGAAGTTGCAAAGGTTCATAATCCCAACGATACCCAACAATCCTTTAGGAACATAGTTTCTAAAATCAGCCTGTGAAGAAAACAGGTGGAACTTGAACCTCCTGGCTCAGACATAGGGACACTACCACTGAGCCACAAAAGCCCTACCAAACTACCCCTCAAGAAGATATTATCTTATCAACTTGCTCAAAGATGTTTTTACACATTACACATTCCTCCTGTGCAGCATAAAATCTGAGATATAACTCAAAGAAAACAGATCTGTCAAGCTTTCAGATATTGGATACAGTTAATCTTCTCCAGTTATGGTTTGCAAGCGAAAAAAGTTAAATTACTTTTAAGGAATAATACAAGGCTAGATTTAATATAAGAAACAGGAGGTTTACAGGGCATGAGAGGAACTTATTTTTTACCTAAAGGTCTGGAATTCTGCGCCTTTAAAGAGTGGTAGAGGCAGAAGCTCTCAGACCATGTTAGCAGTGGTGAGATTTGCATACACGATGTCAAGGCATATAAATGGGATTAGAGCACTTAGGTACTTGCTTTTGACCAACATAGACTTGATGGGCTAAAGGGCCTTTTATTTGCCGTTGTGCATGACTCCATGATTTCTGAAGCAGGTGAGACTTGAACATTGTGTTGCTGATTCAGCGGTAGAGACATGTCACAACAGGCCCTTTGTTAAAGGCTGCCCCAGACAGCAACACCCTCAAGCTGTAGATATTTTCTAAACAACATGTGCAGAGATGCTATTACGCACCTCTGGGGCAAGTGGGACTCGAACCCAGGTCTCCTGGCTCAGAGGTGGGCACATTACCACCGTGCCACAAGAGCCTTTTTAACCCTTTTGGGAAATGCAGATTCTCTCTGCAATCAAACAGCTAGATTCTGCTTGACAACTTTACTCATACCTAACGGTAGCAACTTGGAAGAGATAATGAGGGTGCTGGACCCCCATCAAGAATCACCAATTTCAGGATCGAGGCAAGTGTTTACTTATCTGCACCCATAACTATCCTCAATCATATCGAAAGATTGGCAAGTTGCAGATCATAAAATTCTATAATTTTAGTTACAATCAAAATTGGATACAACACACTACCTGCCAGAGATTTGTGCGATTTGGTTGAAATTTGTTTCCCCATGGGTATAGTCTACCTGAAAGCAGAAATAACAAGAATATCTTCAATTAAAGATCAAAACAAACAGAAGTCCTTGGCATTACACATAACTTTATCACAGGAGGATACCACACAGTACCAAAAGTCCAAAAGGTCGACAAGAGAAAACAGACATTGGAACAGGTCACAACTTGAGCTGCACATTTGGAAGCTAAATCACAACACAGAATGGCTTTGCCAAACAGTTTCATTTTTGCAATTTTCTAAGACACAAGGCAAAGAACCTGCAGGCATTTTGAGAAATAGTGAGAGAAGTTAAGAGGGAGAGGGAGCAGAGTACCAGGTAGGGGCATGTCACTTAGGGGAGTGGTTGTTGGGATGTCATGCAGGTGGGCAATGCTTAGAGTAAGGAAGAATGAAGTTAAAGCTTGTCAAAGCTCGGGGGCTTCAGAAGTCAAGGAGTCACAGAAACCTATAGCACAACGGCAAAACTTGGGGGCGGCACAGTGGCTCAGTGGTTAGCACTGCTGCCTCACAGCACCAGGGACCCAGGTTCAAATCCACCCTCAGGCGACTGTCTGTGTGGAGTTTGCACATTCTCCCCATGTCTGCGTGGGTTTCCTCCGGGTGCTCCGGTTTCCTCCCACAGTCCAAAGATGTACAGGCTAGGTAGATTGGCCATGCTAAGTTGCCCGTAGTGTTCAGGGATGTGTAAATTAGGTGGGTTACAGGGGGATGGGTCTGGGTGGGATGCTTCTGAGGTTCGGTGTGGACTTGTTGGGCCGAAGGGCCTGTTTCCACACTGTAGGGATTCTAAAGCAGGTCTGATCAAGGCATTGTGTCTTGGGTAGTGGAGGTTAGGCTGGCAGTACTTGGATCCGGAGCAGGAGTTGGGCAGGGGAACAATTGATTAAATCCAAGGTCACTGTGAACTATTCAGTACAGAGCGTCAATGTGGCTTTGTACATGGGAAACCATGTCTCACTAGCTTGACCGAGTTTTTTGAAGAAGTGACAAAGTAGATTGAAGACGACAGAGCAGTGAACGTTGTCTATCTGGACTTCAGCAAGGCATTCGACAAGGCTGCATATGAAAGGCTGGTTGGCAAAGATAGATTGCATGGAAACGGGACAGCTAGCCATTTGGATGGCTAATAGCAAACTGGCTTGAAGGCAGGAGACAAAGGTTGGTGAAGGGCTGATTTTCAGACTGGAGGCCTATGATTAGCAGTGTGCCGCAAGGATTGGTGCTGGGTCCACTGCTTTTTGTCATTTATATAAATGATTTGGATGTGAGTACAGGAGGTATGGTTAGTAAGTTTGCAGGTGACACCAAAATTGGTGGTGAAGCGGACAGCGAAAAAGGAGGTTCTCTCAGAGTATAACGGGACGTTGATTAGATGAGCCGATGGGCCAAGGGGAGGCAGTTGGAGTTTAATTTAGATAAATATGAAGTGTTGCATTCTGGTAAGACAAATCATGGCAGGACTTAGACACTTAATGATAGAGTCCTGGGAAGTGTTGCCAAACAAAGAGACGTTGGGGTGCAGGTTCATAGTTACTTGGATGTGCAGTCACAGGTAAGATGAAGACGATGTTTAGTATACTTGCCTTTATTGGTCAGTGCATGGACTGTAGGAGTTGGGATGTCATAAAAACCAAAATAACTGCAGACGCTGTAAGTCAGAAACAAAAACAGAAATTGCAGGAAAAGCTCAGCAGTCTAGCAGCATCTGTGGAAGGGTCACTGGACCCGAAACATTAACTCGCATCTGGAGAGAAATCAAAGTTAATGTTTCAGGTCCAGTGACCCTTCCACAGATACTATCAGACCTGCTAAGCTTTTCCAGCAATTTCTGTTCTTGTTGGGATGTCATGTTGCAGCCAAACAGGACATTGGTTAGGCCACTTTTGAAATACCGCGTTCAATTCTGGTCTCCCTGCTAAAGCAGGAATGTTCAGTGTCTGAGACTGAAGAGTGACAGACAGGCGTATACGTCGGGGTGGGGGCAAGGGGAGAGGAGGATAGTGTGAATAGTCAAGAGATCTGGATGGGTACATGAATAGCAAGGGTTTAAGAGGGATTTGGGCCAAATGCTGGCAAAGGGGACTAGATTAAATTTAGGATATCTGGTCGGGATGAATGTGTTGGACCAAAGTGTCTGTTTCCGGGCTGTACAACTCCATGAGTCTATGTAGCTTCCGTACACTATAGAACAACCAACAATCCTAGTTTGGTTAACAAAGTATACAACATCCTAAAATTTATTAATATGGCACAGAGTATGACAGCAAGGAGATTATGTTTATTTTCCATAGAACCTCAGCTGGAGTACAGTATCCAATTTTAACAAAGTTGAAATGACATTCAAGAGGGTGCAGTAAAGATCAACAATTGTCCCAGAGATGAGGAACTTCAGTTTTGTACATGGTTTAGAGAAGCTGGGTCTGTTTTCCTTGAAGAAGAGAAATTTTAGAGGTATTCCATAGCTTAAGGACTGTGATAAGGAAAAACCATTCCCATTAGTAAAAAGGTTGAGAACAAAGGGCATTGATTTCAGGTGACGGAAGACACAAGGAAAATCCTTTCACACAGTTAATGATTAGGATCTGAAATGCTCCAAGTGTTCAGTGGAGTTGGAATGAGTTCCCCTCAACAGTGAGATTCTAACAAATAACAATTCAAGAGTTAAGCAAAAAGAAGCTTAGTGCCAAATAACATCTGGACTGTAATGGTTACCAGGAATTTAACTGGTAAATGTTTGTCAGGTAAAGGCATTCAGGAGTATAGAAGCCAAGTAGGGAGGTGAAGTTAAGACATCAGCCATCATCTAATTGAATGCAGGACAGGTAGGCTGGGGCTAAACAGCTTTCTCTTGTACCTTAACTACTCTGCCACTCTGTTATAGAATCATAGAATCCCTACAGTGTGGAAGCAGGCTATTCAGCCCATTGACCCTCCACAGAGCATCCCACCTGGACCTACACCACTCCCTGCCACCCATCCCCCACTCAACCCTTATTCCCAGAACGCCACATTTCCTGTGGCTAACTCACCTAACCTACACACCTTTGGACTGTGGAAGGAAACTGGAGCCCCCGGAAGAAACCTATGCAGGCGTGGGGAGAATGTGCAAACTCCACACAGATAGTCGCCGAGGGTGAAATCGAATCCAGGCCCTTGGAGCTGTGAGGCAGCAGTGCTAGCCACAGAATCACCATGTTGTCCTGATATCTCCAATGATTAAGGCACATCTACACCCACATCCTATTGCAGCTGGACGCCTTGAGAATTCTGCCCTTTGTTTTATATTATCAACTTCCCACCCCCAACATTCTATCAAAATGAAAGATTTCACACTTCTCAATGTTAATTCCATCTGCCATTTGTTCACCCATTCCACTAGCTTCTATGTGCTTTCCAAGTTATACACCATCAGAGATGAAAAATTTCTACCGAACAGTGGATTTCTAACACCGGAAGTTTAGAAATTCAGTATTAGATCTGGTTTCTGATCTTCCTGACTATTAAATAAATAAAAAAATCACTGGAAATAGGTCAAGTTCCTTGGATCTTGAAGCAGCTTCATGGATTGTACAAAGCTTCTATGTATTGCATCATCCACAAAGTTTTTGTGCTCTGTATACTAAGATCTAGGTTGTTAACATACATAAGAGCAAGGAATGCAACAATGACCGCTTAATCACCATGTAAAACCCATGTTAGTGTCATGTGATCATACCTTCCAACCCCCCTCGAGCAGCAAACTCCCACTCCTCTTCAGTCGGCAATCGCATCCCCTTCCATGCACAGAACGCCCGAGCATCAGACCAGCTCACCTGTACCACTGGGTACTGTAGTTTTTCTTTAATTCCAGAGCCAGGGCCTGCTGGCTTAAAACAATTGGAAAAATCTGACTGTGATGATCATATTCTATAAGTTATAGATACAACCAAAAAAAAAAAAAAAAGTCTACAGTTCATTGGTAAAAATGAAATCTAATTCCACATCCCAAAAGCCACCAATATGTTAGGGGTGGGTTATTTAGCTAAACCAAACAATTCTTAATGAAGAACAACCAAAATGCAGCAAAAAAATTCTGCGCAATTGTGATATCAGGTGTGAAATTTATATATATTTAGTTTGGACGTTTTTGTATTTTGAACTGGTGGCATTTGGGTTTTCTATGTGTCTGAAGGAGTTTAACAATTAACTTAAGTACTTCTATAGCCATTGTTATTTTCAAACACAGTATTTTCAAACACTGTGCTGTAGATCTCTATCACGCTATGACTCTAAATGAAGGCACGGAGATGAATTCAGTGCATTTGGAGATGCCTCTTTTGTGCACTTTTATTGATTGTTGGTTGAAAGTGAACAGAGTGGCATCCATGGCTGTATTCCAACCAGAACAGAAGGTGCGATAACAAGGTGTAGAGCTGGATGAACACAGCAGGTCAGGCAGCGGAGGAGCAGAAAAGCTGACGTTTCAGGTCTGGACCCTTCTTCAGAAAATGCTGCCTGGCCTGCTGTGTTCATCCAGCTCTACACCTTGTTATCTCAGACCCCAGCATCAGCAGTTCCTACTATCTCAGAACAGAAGGTACTCCTTCTTGGATGCCCTGCATCAAAATACATATTACATATAATCTAATTTTCAACTAAGTATACAACTGTGAAACAAAATGCAAAAACATCAAATTAATATTCATTCCACAGGACTCACCTGTCGCCAAAATGCTCTTTCAATTGGTAGCCACCAAGGAGCAGACTGAAACAGCAACATATAAACAATTATTGTTCCAAGTAATGTAATGTCATAAAAATAGCATTTTCTACATTTCGTTGCAGCATTGTCAATTTTACTTTAGATCTCAAAGTTCATGGCTACTTCTGCCTTTCAAGAAATTGTACATTACATAACACAAATGTAACATTAAATACAAGCAAAAGCTACATTACAAACTAAAATATGTTCTCAAACATTGGCTTTCAATCATACAGTAATAAGAACTGAATACATCAGCAGATTCTGCAGCTAAAACGGTTCACAATGGCAGACTGAGAGGTGGTACAGGACTTCTAATGAAAGGTCATCAAACTGATGCATTAACTGTTTCATGGAATCTCACAATTCAGAAGAGGCCTTTTGGCCCATCAAGTCTGTAACAAGCAAAATTATACCACTACCTACACTAGTTCCACTTTCCTGCAATAGGCCCAGAACCTTAAATGTCATGACATTTCAAGTTCTCAAACAAGTACTTTCTAAAAATCACAAGGTTTCCTGCCTCAGCTACCCTCCAGTGTATTCCAGATCCCCATCTGGGCGAAAATATTTTTCCTGAAATTCCCTCTAAACCTCCTGCTTTCACTTTGAAATTATGCCCCCTAGTTATTGAGCCATCAACAAAAGGGAACAGATGCTTTCTATTCACCCTGTTGATGCCCTTCATAATTTTATACATTTCTTTCAGGTCTCCATTCAACTTTGTTGCTCCAAAGAAAACTAGCAGAGCTTATCCAGCCTCTCTTCGTAGTTGATATGCGGCATTCCAGGCAACATCCTGATGAATCCTCTCTGCATGTCCTTCAGGACAATCACATCCTTCCTATACCACATATTCTCTACATTCTGATCTCAATCACTTCCTTTAGAAAAAAGCAAGATTTGAATTTATACAGCATCTTTACATGATCTTATACAGTCAACCTGCTGTGAAGATCATAGAATCCCTACAATGTGGAAACAGGCCCTTCTGTCCAACAAGTCCACACCGACCCTCAGACATCCCACCCAGACCCGTCCCCTTATAACCCACCTAATCAACACACCACCAATCCACCTAGCCTGCACATCTTTGGACTGTGGGAGGAAACCGGAGCATCCGGAGGAAACCCCACAGACACAGGGAGAACGTGCAAATTCCACACAGACAGTTGCCCAAAGGTGGAATTGAACCCGGGTCCCTGGTGCTGTGAGGCAGCAGTACTAACCACTGTGCCACCGTGCTGCCCCGTGAAGCCTTGAGTACTTTGATATGCATTCACTGTTGCACTGTGGAAAATATGGCAGATAATTTGCATACAGTAATACCTCACTGATGAACAATTCAAAACTACAGGATAGAGGGGGGTTACTCTGCTCATTAGAGGGAACATAGCAGTAGAAAAAACAGACAGAATCTACGAGTTGAAATAGATAAAATCTCAATCGCTAGTAAAGATGCACTCTCTGTGCTATGTTCTAACAGAGGAAGGCGGGAGGTAAAATTAATCCCCAGCACTGGAAAGTTGTGTCAGCCAACGTCCTAAGGTCACTTGTCCCTCTCACCGCATCACATCTGAAATTTTGCCTAGACTGCATCCCAAAATGTAACTTTCGCAAAGAAATGACTCTAATCTGCATATGACGAAATCAACATCAGCTTCCACCATTTTTTTGCTGAACTTGCTCTATAGAATTATTCACTGAACTATTACCCCTTCAACTATAGCCAGTCTCTCAACCATGGTTCCACAGGAAATGGCTAGCATATAGTCTTACCTATCCACTGAATTTTCAAATAACCATAATTAATCATTGCAGTACATATCCAGCACTGTAGTCAAATTTGAATTAATTCTACATTTGCTGTTGAGTGCTTAATTTCCTTTGCTGATCACAGGTCATTCAGTTATTGCAGAGCTAAGTGCGAAGACTCATTACTTCAAGACAAGTTCCTGATTTTTTTCCCTTGCTAAGTTTCATACCATCTATTATGTAGGTTCCCCATTACCTTTCAATATTTTACATTTTCTCCCCTTGAATTTCATTTGCCACAGTTCTGCCCACACGTAGCTACCATCAACATCCTTCTACAACTTCTTGCCTGCTTAAAACTCTATTGTCCCTAAACACAAGCTTGCCACTGTCAAAGAGTCTAAAGAAAGTCTTATGTATCCAAATTCAAGCTGATCAAAAGACAGTTGTCTCATTGGGGAAATATCCTGTCATAGAGATGTACAGCTCAGAAACAGACCCTTCGATCCAACACATCCATGCTGACCAGATAACATTGATAAATCCAGTCCCATTTGCCAGCACTTGGCCCATATCCCTCTTAACCCTTCCCATTCATATACCCATCCAGATTCCTTTTAAATATTGTAATGGCACCAGCCTCCACCATTTCCTCTGGCAGCTCACTCCATACATACATCACCCTCTGCTTGAAAAAGTTGCCCCTTAGGTCCCTTTTAAATCTTTCTCCCCTCACCAGTTTTGGACTCTCCACACCAGGTAAAAGATGCTATCCATGCCCCTGGTGATTTTATAAACCTCCATAACATCACTCCTCAGCCTCCGATGCTCCAGGGAAAATAGCCCTTGGCAACATTTTTGTCAATCTTTTTTGAACCCTTTCAAGTTTCACAATATCCTTCCCATAGCAGGGAGAACAGAATTGCACGCAGTATTCCAAAAGCGGCCTAACCAATGTCCTGCACAGCCGCAACACAACCTCCCAACTCTATACTCAATGTACTGACCAAGTCATTGCCACTTTAGCCATGACTGTTGCGCTATTGATTTCCACCATCCCTCACTCTGTAAACTTTATAAATAGGTTTCCAGCTCCAACATTAAAAATTATATACCTTTCTATAGCATTCTCCTTAAAGTGCAATGTAGAAATGCTGTTTGTGAGAATTAATTATACCTCAATTCTTTGTGTCACTTTGTTTTTCAATTCTTCTGGTACAAAGTCTTCAAATACAAAACTCCAACCAAATGATTCTGCTTCTGTTTTATATTTCTGTGATCTGATAAACTCTCTGCAAAATATTATGAAAAAAAGTTAAAATTAATAAATCAGACACCAACAAAAACTGGACTCTGCTACTGTTGAAATGCACAGAATGTCAATGTGTGAATTGGACATTAATGCATGATCTACTTGACACAATGGCCATCTCCAATATGAAACAATGTAACCATCATCATTGCCATTCACTGGCATCACCATCGCTGAAACCAACATCCTGGGGGGTTACCATTAACAGTGAACTGAACCAGACGAGCTATATACACTGAAGCCTGCACATTGGCACAAGTCTCCACTTGTCTGGATGAGTGCAGCTCCAAAAACACAAGACGATCAATAGCACCCAGGACAAAGCTGTCACTTGATTGGCACCATATCCACCACCTTAACCATTCACACTCTTCACCACTGACACACATTGCCAGCAATGTGCACCATTTGCAGGATGCACTGCTGCAACCCATTAAGCTCTTCAACAGCACCTGCCAAACCTGTGACCTCTACTATCTAAAAGGATAAGGACAGCAAGTACATTAGAACAATGTAAGTTGCAAGAATAGCTTGCTTTTGACCAGTGCAGAGTCAGAGGTTACAGCACGGAAACAAGCCCTAACTTGTTCATGCTACCTTGTTTCAATCCATATCCGCGTTTAGTCCATACCCCTCCATACCTATTCCATCCATGTATCTGTCCAAATGTTTTAGAACATAGAACAGTACAGGCCATTCGGCCCACGATATTGTGCCAAACTTTTACCCTAATCCCAAGGTCTATCTAACCTCCACTCCTACCTTATACTATCATCCATATGCCTATCTAATAGCCGCTTAAATGCCCCTAATGAGGCCGACTCCACTACCCTCTCCGGCAATGCATTCCACGTCCCAACCACACTCTGAGTAAAGAATCTACGTCTGATGTCTCCCCGATATCTACCTCCTTTCACTTTAAAACTATGGCCCTTGTAATAGATGCCTCCACCCTAATAAAAAGACTCTAGCTGTCCACTCTATCTATACCTCTGATCATTTTGTACACCTCTATCAAGTCACCTCTCATCCTTCGTTGTTCTAAAGAGAAAAGCCCTAGCTCTCTTAACCTTTCCTCGCAAGACTTTCCCTCCATTCCAGGCAACATCCTCGTAAATCTCCTCTGCACTTTTTCCAACACTTCCGCATCTTTCCTGTAATGAGGCGACCAGAACTGGACATACTACTCCAGATGTGGCCGAACCAGGGTTTTGTATTGCTGCAGTATAACTTCACGGCTCTTGAACTCGATCCCTCTATTAATGAAAGCTAACACACCATACGCCTTCTTAACAACTCTATCAGCTTTCAGGGAACTGTGGACATGAACCCGGAGATCCCTCTGCTCCTCCACACTGCCAAGAATCTATCCATTAACCCTGTATTCTGCTTTCAAGTTTGTCCTTCCAAAATGAATCACCTCACACTTTTCAGGGTTAAACTCCATCTGCCAATTCTCAGGCCAGCTCTGCATCTTATCAATGTCCCTTTGTAACCTAGAACAGCTCTCCACACTATCCACAACTCCACCCACCTTCGTATCATCCACGAACTTAATAATCCACCCTTCCACTCCTTCATCCAAAATCATTTACAAAAATCACAAATAGAAGAGGACCCAGAACAGATCCTTGTGGTACACCACTCGTAACCGAGCACCATGTTGAATATTTTCCATCCACTACCACCCTTTGTCTTCTAAGGGTCAGCCAATTCTGAATCCAATCTGCCACATTTTTCCCCTATCCCATGCCTCCTTACCGTCTGCATGAGGAATGGTCAGGGCGTGGAATGCATTGCCGGAGAGGGTAGTGGAGTCGGCCTGATTAGGGGCATTTAACCGGCTATTAGGTAGGCATATGGATGATAGTACAAGGTAGAAGTGGAGGTTAGAAAGACCTTAGGATTAGGGTTAAAGTTCGGCACAACATCGTGGGTCGAAGGGCCTGTACTGTTCTATGTTCTACCATGGCGAACCTTATCAAACACCTTACTTAAATCCATGTCTACCACATCCACTGCTACACCTTCATCCAAGCATTTGGTCACCTCTTCAAAGAATTCAATAAGGTTTGTGAGGCATGATCTACCCCTCAAAAATCCATGCTGACTAACACGAATCAAACTGTGCCTTTCCAAGTGATCATAAATCCTACCTCTCAGAGCCCTTTCCAATAATTTGCCCACCACTTGAAGTAAGACTAACTGGCCTGTAATTTCCGGGGTTATCCCTGTTCCCTTTTTTGAACAAGGGAATGATGTTTGTCTCTCTCCAATCTTCAGGCACTATACCCGCGGACAGTGAGGTTGAAAAGATCATTGTCAAAGGCCCTGCGATCTCTTCCCTCGCTTACCATAGAATCTGTGGATAAATCCCATCAGGCCCGGGGGACTTGTCTATCTTCAAGTTCCTCAGAATTCCTAGTACATCTTCCTTACTAACATCCACCTCCTCCAGCCTGCCAACCTGTTTCACACTGTCCTCCCCTATTACTAGGTCCCTCTCAGTTGCGAATACTGAAGAAAAGTATTCTTTAAGGACCTCTCCTATCTCTTTAGGCTCCATGCACAAATTCCCTTTACAATCCTTGATCGGCCCTACCCTTTCTCTGGTCATTCTCTTATTCCTCACGTACGTGTAAAAAGCCTTGGAGGTTTCCTTTCCTATCTGCCAAGGTTTTCTCACGCCCCCTTATAGCTCTCCTAAGCCCTTTCTTCAGTTCCTTCCTGGATAACTTGTATCCCTCTAGAGCCTTTTCCGTTCCTTGTTTCCTGAAGCTTATATAAGCATCCTTCTTCCTCTTAACGAGTTGCTCGATCTCTCTCGAGAACTAAGGCTCCCTCACTCGACCACATCTTCCCTGCCTGCTAGGGACAAACATATCAAGCACACGCAGTATGCATTCCTTAAACAATCTCCACATTTCTATAGTGGTCTTCCCTGACAGCATCTGTCCCCATTTTATGTTATGCAGTTCTTGCCTAACAATTGTAATTACCCTTCCCCGAATTATAAACCTTACCCTGCTGTATGTACCTATCCTTTTCCATGACTATTGTAAAAGTAACAGAGTTATGATCGCTACCGCCAATATGCTCTAACACTTGGCCCGGTTCATTGCCAAGCACCAAATCCAAAGTGACCTCTCCTCGTGTTGCTCTATCTACATACTGTGTCAGGAATCCTTCCTGAACACACTGGACAAAGTTCGCTCCATTTCAACTATTACAACTAAAAAGTTTCCAATCAATATTTGGAAAGTTGAAGTCACCCATGACTTCTGCACCTTTCCAGCATCTGCCTCCCAATCCGCTCCTCCACTTCTCTGCAACTATTAGGGGGTCTGTAAAAAACTCCCAAAGTGACTGCTCCTTTCTTGTTCCTGACCTCAACCCAAACTGACTCTATAGACATATCATTCTCGAACTGCCTTTCAGTAGCTGCTTTACTAGCCCTGACTAGCAATGCCATTCCCCCACCTCTTTTACCATCCTCCCTATTTCTTTAAAAGCATCTAAATCCCAGAACTTCCATTACCCAAGTTTAAGTTTTTGAGTGACAAAATTGTAGTCACCTCCACCAACACCTCTGGGCAGCCCATTCTAGACACTCACCACCCTCCAAAATAATTGCCTCTCCAGGGCCCATTTGTATCTCTCCCCTCTCACCTTAAACCAACGTCCTCTAGTTTTAGACAGCCCCATCATGGGGAGAATCTGTTGGGTATCTACCTTATCTATGCCTCGTATGATCTTTTGAATTCCATAAGGTCACCCCTCAATCTCCTACACTCCAGGGAAAAAATTCCCAGTCTTATCCACCCTCACCTTATAATTCAAACCTTCCAGTCCAGGTAGCATCCTAGTAAATCTTTTCTGCTCTCTTTCTAGTTTAATAATATGCAAGCAGAACTGCATGCAGTACTCCGATTGCTGCCTTACCAATGTCTTGTACAACTGCAAAAAGATAACCTTACCCCAATACTCAAGGCTCTGACTGATGAAAGCAAGCATGTCTATGATAGTATTGATAAAAGCGACTACAATACAGTCCTTGTGGAGACAAAGTCCCACCTTCGCATTGAGAATACCCTCCATCATGTTGTGTGGCACTATCAACATGCTTAATTGGATAGACTTCAAACAGATCTAGCAACTCAAGACTGGGCATCCATGAGGCATAGTGAGCCATCAAAAGCAGCAGAATTGTACTCCTGCACAATCTATAACCTCATGGCCTGGCATATTCCCCATTCAACCATTACAAGCAAGCCAGGGGGTCGACCCTGGTTCAATGGAGAGTGCAGGGGGGCATGCCAGGAGCAGCACCAGGCATACCTGAAGAGGAGGTGGCAACCTTGCATAAGCAGCAAGTGATAGACAGAGCTAAGCGATCCCACAACCAATGGATCAGATCTAAGTTCTGCAGTCCTGCCACATCCAGTCGTGAATGGTGGTGGACGACTAAACAACTCAAGAGGCGGCGGCTCCACTCGCCAAGGATGGAATTGACCAAGGCATCAGTACAAAAGATCAGGCTGAAGCTTTCCACCAATCTTCAGCCAGAAGTGCCGAGTGAATGATTCATCTCGGCCTCCTCCAGTGGTCTCCAGCATCACAGATACCCGTCTTCAGCCAATTTGATTCACTCCACATGATATCAAGAAACGGTTGGAGACACTGGATACTGCAAAGGCTACGGGCCCAGAAAACATACCAACAATACAACTGAAAATTTGTGCTCCAAAAATTGTCATTCCCCTAGCCTAGCTGTTCCAGTACAGTTACAACATTGGCATCTACCGACAATGTGGAAAATTGCCCAGGTACGTCCTGTACATAAAAAGCAGAACACCACCAACCCAGCCAATTACTGCCCAATCAATCCACTCTCAATCACAGTAAAGTGATGGAAGATGTCATTAAGTACTTTCAAGCAGCATCTGCTCAGTGACACCCAGGTTAGATTCCACCAAAGCCACTCAGCTCCTGACCTCATTACAGCCTTGGTTCAAACAAGGACAAAAAGAGCTGAATTCCAGAGGTGAGCGGAGAGTGACCATCCTGGACACCAAGGCTGCATTCGACCAAGTGTGGCATCAAGGGGCTAAACTCTCCAGTGGTTGGAGTCATCTGATACACAGGAAGATCATGGTGGCTTGTTGGAGGTCAGTCATCTCAGCTCCAGGACATCTCTGCAGGAGTTCCTCAGGGTAGTACCCTATGCCCAACCAGCTTCAGCTGCTTCATCAATGACCTTCCCTCCATCATAAGGTCAGAAGTGGGGATGTTCATTGATGATTGCAATATTCAGCACCATTTGTGACCCCTCAGGCACTGAAGCAATCAAATGCAACAAGATCTGGATAATATCCAGCCTTGAGCTGACAAGTGGCAAGAGACATTCTAACCACTGCCCCATGACATTCAATGGTGTTACCATCACTGAATCCCCCACGATCAACATCCTGGGGCTTATCATTGAAACTCATTGGCCACACTACATAAATATAGTGGCTACAAGAACAGGTCAGAGGCTAGGAATACTGCAGCAAGTAAGTTACCTCTTGACTCCCCAAAGCATGTCCACCATCTACAAGACACAAGTCAGGAGTGTGATGGAACACTGGCCTAGAAGAGTGCAGCTCCAACAACACTCAAGAAGCTTGACACTATCCAGAACAAAGCAGTCTGCTCGATTGGCACTATAACCATAAGCATTAACTCCTTCCACCAGTGACGCTCAGTAACCGCAGTATGTATTGTCTACAAGATGCACTGCAAAAATTAAAGATCCTCAGGCAGCACCTTTCACATCCACGACGACTTCCATCTAGAAGAACAAGGGCAGCAGATATATGGCAACACCACCACCTTCAAATTCCCCTCCAAGACACACACTATACTGACTTGGAAACGTATTGTCATTCCTTCACTGCGACTGGATCAAAATCCTGGAATTCCCTCCCTAATGGCATTGTGGATCAACCCACAGCTGGTGGACTGCAGTAGTTCAATAAGGTAACTCACCGCCACGTTCTCAAGGGCAACCAGGGATGGGCAGTAATTGCTGGCCAACCAGCAATGCCCACATCCCACAAAATGAAAATTTTAAAAAAGCATGCCAAAAGCCTTCTTCACCACCCTGTCTACCTGTGACTCCACTTTCAAGTAACTATAAACCTGTACCCCTGTTTTATAACACTCCCCAGGGCTCTACCATTCACTGTGCAAGTCCTGCCCTGGTTTGACCTACCAAAACACAACATCTTGCATTTATCTTAATTATTCTCCATTTACCACTCCTCAGTCCACTGTCCCAGTTGATCAAGATCCCACTTCATTCCTAGATAAGCTTCATTCTCCACTATACCACCAATCTTGGTGTTGTCCAGGAATGTACTCACCAAACACCTAAATTCTCGTCCACAATTTTTATATAAAGTGACGAGTAACAGTGGACCCAGCACTGATCCCTGTGGAACACCACTAATCACAGGCCTCCAGTTTGAAAAACAACCCTCTACCACCACCTTCTGTCTTCTACTGACAAGACAATTTTGTATCCAACTGGCTAGCTCTCCCTGGATCCAGTGAAATTTCACCTTACTCAACACCCTTCAAAAACTCAATCAAGTTCGTGAGACATGATTTCCCAAACACAAAGACATGCTGACTAGCCCAAATGAGTCCTTCCTCTCCAAATGCCTGTAGATCCTGTCTCTCAGAATCCCCTCTAACAACTTACCCACCAGAGGTTAGCCACCCTCCAATCTTCAGGCATTTCACCCCTGGCTGTCAATGATACAAATATCTCCACCAAGGGCCCTGCAATTTTCTCCCCAGCCTCCCATGAAGCCCTGGGATACACTTCTTCAGAGCCTAGGTATTTTTCTACCTTAATGCATTATAAGACTTACAGCACCTCCTCTTTTGTAATGTGGACACTCTGCAAGACATCACTATTTATTTCCCCAGGTTCCCTAACATCAATGCCTTTCTCAACATTAAATACTGACAAAAATATTTATTTGGGACCTCACCCATTTCCTGTGGCTCCACACTTAGATGATCTTGTTGATCTTTAAAGGTCCTATTCTGTCCCTAGTTACTCTTTTGCCCTTCATGTACTTGTAGAATCTCTTCGGATTCTCCTTTACTTATCTGCCAAAGCCATCTCATGGCTCCTTTTAGCCCTCCTGATTTTTCTCAAGTGTACTCCAAAATCAATACTCAAGGAATTCACTTGATCCCAACTGCCTCTACACATCATATGCCTCCTTCTTTTCCTTGACCAGGGCTTCAATAACTCTAGTCATCCAAGGTTCCCTATTCCTGCCAGCCTTACATGCTAGCCCTGAACTCATGAACTCACTTTTGAAAGCTTCCCACTTACCAGACATCCCTTTGTCTGTGAACAATCACCCCCAAACAACTTGTGAAAATTCCTAAGACCATCAAAATTGGCCCTGCCCCATTTTAGAACTTTAACTTGTGGTCCAGTCATAGTTATTTTAAAACTAATGGGATTAGGGTCACTGGTCCCAAATTGCTCTCATCACTTGCCCTGCCCTATTTTCCAAGAGGAGGCCAAGTTTTGTGCCTTCTTTAGTAGGACCACCTACATATTGCATGAGAAATTCTTCCTGAACACTCAAATTTCTCTGTCCAAGCACGATGGTAGTCCCAGTCAACGTTAGGAAAGTTAAGATCTCACACTATTACAATACTATTATTCTTGCAGCTATCCTGACATATTTGCTCCTCAGTTTCCTGAGGCCTATTGGAGGCCCTATAGCACAATGCTTTCAGCGATCTCCTTTTTATTTCTCAGTTCTACTTGTACCAACTCAGTGGACGAACCCTCAAGAATGCACTCTCTCAGAACTGTCGTGATGTTCTCCCTAGTTAAAAACACAATGCTCCCCTCCTCTGTTGCTTCCCCTTCTATCCTTCCTGTGGCATCTGTACCCCAGAACATTGAGCCACAAGTCCTGTCCCTCCTGGAGCCATGTTTCGGTAATAACCTAGTCCCACGTACTCATCCATGCCCTGAGTTCATTTGCCTTACCTGTCAGGCTTCTTGCATTGAAATCAATGCAGTTTAACCCAGACTTCCCTTGCTTTCTGCCATGCTTTTGCCTGCCCTGTCCAGTACTAGGTTTACTAATACTGCATTTACTATTTAACTTGCTCTCATTGACTTTCATACTGTGCTCAATCTTCTCTTTCGTCTTCCTACTGCTTTAGATGCCATCCTCCCAACAGGCTAGTTTAAACCCTCCCAAGTGGCTTAGCTAATCTAACCACCAGGATATTGGTTTCCCTCCAGTTTGAGTGCAACCCGTCTCTCTTATACAGGGCACCTCTACCCCAAGAAGAGTTTGCAATAGTCTAAGAATCCCAATCCCTGCCCCTGCACCAGGTCTCATGCCACATATTTACCTGCCAAATCCTCCTATTCCTACTCTCGCTAACACGTGGCACTGGAAGTAGTCCAGAAGTTGCTACCCTTGAGCTCCTGCATTTTAACCTTCTGCCTAACTCTCTATAATCACTCCTCAGGGCCTCATCCTTTTTCCTACCTATGTAGTAGTCTCCTACTACAAATATTCGCTTGGACTTTGCCTGTCCCTGATCTACAGCAGAGCCAGTCATGGTGCTACAGGCCTGGCTGCTGCTGCTGTATTCCCCGGAGGAGCTATTCCTCCCACAACAGTATCCAAAATGGTATACCTGTTTGGAGAGCGGGATAGCCACACGAGACTCCTGCACTACCTGACTGCCTCTCCTAGTGGTTACCAATCTGCCTGACTGTAGCTGTGATGTGACTATATCACTATAACTAGTGTCTATCACACTCTCTGCCCCCGTATGCTCCTGTGTCCAACTGGTGAACCACGCGGTCTGCGAGGAGCTGCATTCGGTCACACTTCCTGAAGACACAGACATCAGGGAATCTAGACTGTTCCCTGATCTCCCACATTTGGCAGGAGGAATACACCAGTACCCTAGCGGTCATCTTTAACCCTTGACAGTACAGCAAAGAGAATCTTATCTTGCCCTTACCTTGTTTCTGATTATCCTCAGATGAAGCCTGGTATTCACCAAATCCCCTAGTTAAGCCTCCAACAGCAGTTCCATCACACAGCAGCGCTTCTCAAAATTGCCACTCCGAAAATGGCCACTCCACTATAGCTTGCTTGCCTGCCTTTTGTTCGCTCCTGGGCAATCTCTAGTGACTGAGCCTACTCCTCCCTGAATCCTCCTCAGTCACCTCTCAGCAGCACGCTCTTTTGGATGGACCAAAGTGCTTTTTCCTGCGCTGTAAACCTCTACAGTTCTAAGCCTTCCTTCAAAGCACACTTCATCCTGATTTGAAACCATGTAGCCATTTCTTCACTAGCATTGGTGAAAATCTTGGAACTCACTCCCCAACCACATCGTAGGTGCATCTACACCACTTCATCAACAAGGAAGGCCACCAACACTTTCTCCAGGATAACCTTTCTTCAAAATTGCACACAGAGGTCTTGTCTCACCTCCACCATTTTCTCGTTTTCCATTATCGTTACTCAGTTTCAAGGTTTCTCTTTCTCTCTCTATGCCAACAGTTGTTTTTTTCTATTTAAATATTTCGTGAAACTTTTACTATCTGCTTTTGTATTACTTCTACTTTTTTCTTCTCATTTTCTGCTTTCTCCTTTTCATAATTTCACAAAATCAAAGTCAAAAATGACCAGGCAACGAGCGTACAAGTACTTCAACTGCAGGATTTGTTTTGGGGATATTACTTCACACAACACAACTACAATAGATACAATTACTAATTATTTAAAATAGGGTTTAAAATCATTACATTTCTCTGACCTAAATTCCACATTGGTAACTGGATACTGGTTTAAAGCAAACGGTTTTACAGTCACTCTTCTGATTGGAGCTTCGCCATCTCTAGCATCGGCTTCATCAGTACCCATGTGAAAAGTGCCACCAGGCAGCTTCACCACAATCGAATCTAAAAGGTAGACACACAGGTTAGAAAAAACTGAAAGGGTATTAAGAATGCTAAGGAAGACAATAAAAGATACAGTGGAAAACAGTACAGGACAACATAAGTGCACGTCTGAATTTTATGCAGAGCATCAAAAACAGCAGGTCCTTCGGGAGTATGGCATGTGTAGGTGTACTTAAATAAGAAAGTAGGAGGCCAAAGAGGCCCACAAAATATCTTTGGCAGACAGGATTAAGGAAAACCCCAAGGCTTTTTATAAGTATAGTAACAGTAAGAGGATTACCTGGGAAAGAACAGAGATCAAGGGGGCAATCGGTGTATGGAGACAATGGATGTAGGTGAGGTCTTAAATGAATACTTCTGATCTGTATTCAGAGGAGAGACAGACATTGTAGCCAGGTATATCAGTTGGGATGGGGAAGTTCTAGGGCACATTGAGACTAATATTAGACATTTCAGCAGCATACAGGCACATATAACCCAAGGGCCTGATGAGATGTATCCCATGCTGCTATGGAAGGCTAGGAGGAGATTGCTGGGGCCCTGGTGGATATATTTAATACTTCGCTGGTTACAGGCAAAGTGCCAGATGACTGGGAGTAAGCAAATGTGATTCCTTTGTTCAAGAAGGGCAGGGATAGGACGAGAAACTCCAGGCTGGTTGGTCTGATGTCAGCAACAAAAACAGAAATTGCTGGAAGAGCTCAGCAGGTCTCCCAGCATCCGTGGAGAGAAATCACGTTAACGTTTCAGGTCAAGCGACCCTTCCTCACTGGCCTAGTGGTATTATTGCGGGACTGTTAATCCAGAGACCCAGGATAATGTTCCGGGGACCTGGGTTCGAATCCCGCCACAGCAGATGGTGGAATTTGAATTCAATAAATATCTGGAATTAAGAATCTAATGATGACCACAAATCCATTGCCGATTGTTGGAAAAACCGATCTGGTTCACTAAATATCTTTTCAGGAAGGAAACTGCCATCCTTACCTGGTCTGGCCTACAGGTGACTCCAGACCCACAACAATGTGGTTGACTCACGGCTTACAAATAGAAGACAAAGCATTATGGTGGAGGGTTGCTTTTGTAATTGGAAGCCTGTGACCAGCAATGTACCACAGGGATCGGTGCTGGGACGCTGGCTATTTGTAACGTATATTAATTACTTGGATGTGAATGTAGAACGTTTGATTAGTAAATTTGCAGATGACATGAAAATTGGAGGTGTTATTGATAGCGAGGATGGTCTCAGCTAGTCAGCTGGTAAATTAGGCACTGCAACGGCAGATAGAATTTAACCCTGCTAAGTGCAAGGTAATGCATTTGAGTGGTCTAATAACTGAAGGATATACACAATGAATGATAACTCCGACCATAAGTAATTGTGACTTGGGCAAATGCATGTTAATTAAAAGGAAAATGAACATCGATTTAAGGACAAATCATGTTTAACAACCTGGGAGAGGTCTATGCAGACTTGGGAACATAAGAACAGAAACAGGCCATCCAGCTCCTCAAACCAGTTCCACCATTCAATGGCTGATCTGTGGCCTAACTCCATGTATGCCTTTGGCCTATACCTTTGCCTAACAAAAATTTATCTATCACCAAATTAAAACTAACAACCAAGCCTATATCCATTGCCATTTGTGAAAAGAGTTGTAAACATCTACCACCCTGAGCAATCTATCCTCATAACCCCTGAAGTCCAGGTATCATTCTTGCTACCTTTCTAAGGCGAGGTGCGCAGCTCAGCTTACTGCAATATAAACATCCAGTACACGGGTGAACAATCAGTACAATCTGAAGGCCAGATTACATTAGCTTTCTTGATTACTTTCTGCACCTGTGAGACATTTTAAAGATTATGGACTTCAACTCCTCATCTCTTTGGACTGAATGCACAGCCTAAAACTTCATACCATCTAGAAAGTACCCAGATTTATCCTTTTTCAGTCCAAATGGCTGACCTCAATCTTACATACGCTGAACTCCATCTGCCATTCACTTAGTCTATCAATATCTCTTTGTAATTTTATGCTACCATCTACAATGTTGCCCAACTTTGTGTCATCAGCAAATTTGGATATATGACTTCCTCGACCATTATCCAAATCATTAATAATGTGAATAAATGAGACCCAAACACAGGTCTTTACAGGACACCACTGGCCAATCTGACCAAGTACCCATTATCCTTGCTTTCAGTCGCCTGCTACTCAACCAATTTCCTAGCCATGTCAGTAATTTGCACTCAGTTCTGTGGGTTTCTAACTTAGTTGACAGTCTCTTTTGTGGGAATTTATCAAGTTCCTTCCAGATGTCTGTATAAACAACATTCAGAGACATTCCCCGTTACCTCTTTAAAAATTCTGAGGTTGTCAGGCATGACCTAACTGTCATGAATCCATTCTCACTCTCCCCGAGTAACTGAAAATTTACAAGTTGTTCAGTTACTCCATCCTTCCAAAACCCGATGTAGTGCCATGCCCTGAGCAAATTTGGGGCTCACTGAAGAAAAGAAACATAGAAAAGAAATTGGTTGTGTGACAGGAACTAAAGTAGCAGTTAACAGATGCTTTTCAAACTGGAGAAAGGTTTGCAGTGGAGCTCCTCATTGGTCACGATTAAGATTCAGTTCTTCCTGATTTAGACAAATGAACTAGTTCTTTGTATGTTAAAAAAATTTCAAAATTTTGAAATAAGATGAAACTTGGACACATTGTAAGGATGTTATAACTTCAAAATGACAGCCAGATTGGTGGATTGGGCAAATAAGTGGCAAAGTAACACAGAGGAATGATTGATATTGGGAGCAAGAACACCACAAGCCAATATAAAATAAAGGGTACAATTCTAAAGGGGGTGCAGAAGCATAGGCACCGGAGCATGCCTAAATCATTAAACGCAGCAGGCCTGGTTGAGAGAGTGGTCAATAAATTATACTTGAGTTTTATGAATAGAAGCGTAAAGGAACAAAAGCATGGAAGTGATGTTAAACCTGTACAAACCCTTATCCAGCCTCAATTATAGAATTGGGGACACCATACTTAAAAGGAGGATGTGAAATAATTACAGGATGCAAAAAGGATTGACAAGTATGGTTCCAGAGATGAGGAACTTCAGTTATTACTGGAAATATTGGGACCGTTCTTGTTGGAGAGGGGCAAGAGGAGATTTGTTAGAGATGTACTAAAATCCTAAGGGGTCTGGACAGAGGAGATGATGGAAATTTTTCTCACTAATGGGAAGATTAAGAATCAAGCAAGACATATTAAGTATTTAACAAAATAAACAATGGCAACAACAGGAAAATCTTTTTCATACATCAAGTGTTTTGGATCTGTATGCACAGCACTCAAGAGTGGCAGAGGCAGATCACTGGATCATTCAAATTTGACTAGGACCATCTAAAAAGGTAATGGTGGTGGTGTAGAGGGAGGCAAATAAAGGTAATGTGCAGGACAACTGGGAAAGAGTAGGAGAAAAGCTCAAAGTAAATTATAACCCAGTCCCCCACCCCACCACACCACACCCCCCC